TTACCGTCTGTCATTGAGCAGTTGTTGCATTCCGAAATTATAACCTTGAGACTAAACACACCAGGCAGATATGAGCACACCAATCAAAGGCAGTAGGCGGATAAAGACATCAACATAGAAAGGCAAAATGTATTCCGAAAGTATGCTCATAAACGGCCTTGTTTTTGTCCCTAGATGAATATGGAAAACTGTTATACTTTAAATGTTAATAAGAACGCACAAACAGACGTCATTTAGATTGTCAGAATGAATAAAATGTAATGAAAAATCAGTTGGACACAAAACTTTAACGTGGGGGCGTGCAAAATTGAAAGCATTGGGCAAAAGAGATGGGAAAACAAAATTGTTTAAAGGGCGATTCGCACAATAATGTTCATTTCATTCGAGACACCATTGTTCCATTTTCTCTGGCTTCGAATAGGGAGAATCGAGGAACAAACATTAAGATATGGATTGTTGTGTTTTTGTGCTTAGTTTGTAGGACAGAGACAAAAATGCATTGATTTAAAGATTAAAAAAAAAACACATCGCTAAAATCTTCAATTTCAATTAAATTCATTTTTGTTTAGTCCACTGTCACAAAAGCAGTCAGTTTGCTAGAATTGTTTATCAAAAGCAGATTAAAGTTGAAAATCAAGTACCGTACCGATATAAGGTACAGTACCAATATTAAAACATACATGTCCATATGACACTGGTTATGTCAGTACATAAATGTCCTGGATCTTTCTCAAAGCAGTTTGACATCGGCTTTGTGTCTCTGTACAACTTTATTTAATTACTTAGCTTGCATAGCCAATCTAAAGTAACTATCACAACATGATAATTGCCGATGGCAACCACGTAACGGGATGACAAAGTTCATGTTTGCATATTCTCCCTGTGTCTGTGTAAGCTTCCTCAGGGTGTACTGGTCTATTTTTTATCATTAATAACATGTAAAGCACTGGAGTCCCTCTGGACCCTGGACTTGTCTGCATTAGAGACTCTCAATGGCATAATTCTGGTTAAATAACAGTTTAAAGAAGGCCATTGTTACAAGGCCTTTCCCTGAATGCAATGTGAGATATGTTGAACCAACAGTTAATGCCCTACTGTTTCTTACAACAGAGTCCAACACCTAAGTTCAGTGAAGAATGTGTTGAGCCAAACAGAGCTTTCACCCAGTGACAACACAGGATGCAGTAGACTAGAGCAAAAAGTAGTTGGACTGTAGAAGAGGCATGGAAAGATCAGGGAGAAGCTTCTATATCACTTTTACAGCAACAGACTGCCCACAGGCACAATGCACGTACAGTAGAATAACATGTAAAATATAATACAAAACTAAATGCATATACAAAAATAATGCATGCAAAATTAGCTAATTCTAATACAAACTTTTCAAATTATTCCCTCATTGACTGCCAGCCGTTTTTGATGATTTCACGGACTTTCAAGACCCACAGAATATTATGTGCTAAGACTATGTGAAATATGAAACCATATTCTGAAAGACTAGACTGTCTACTTCCATCAGAAATAATAGGTTTGTTTCTAGCTAGTTGTGTTCTCCTGTAATCCTGTAGGCGAATACAAGGAATTTTGACCAGTCTCAGACAAATACGTCATTGGCAATCAATGAGTTAAAACATTTTTTTTAGCTCCACCCATGCAATTACCATTAACCTCTGGCATAAAATCGGCGCAAACACATTCACCCCAGCTTATGTTATGATCAAATCCAAACCAATCCTTTTTTTGGGGGGCTTTGAGACCCACTGCAGTTCTTACAAAACCAAATTTCCACCATATTTCAAAGCACATTTAGACAAAAGATTCACTGCTGCTAGTGCCATCGCTTAGCAACTTACATTGTCACACAGGTTGGCAACCACAAGACTCAAAGAGGTGCAATCGTCAACCACAGAAAATAAAGCTTGAGAAATTGACTCACCATATTTGGAATTGTGCATTTATTTACAGAGACTACGGATAAGAAAGCACGATTTAAGAGTGCTTTGTTGTTTTGGCTTATGCGCTAATGTCAGTTGTGGCGAGATACGCAGAGTAAGTGTAAGGAAGTGGGAACGTGGAAATTGTATAGAGCTATTGAACAAGAAAACAAGGAGCAAATGCGTCAAAGCGCGCACAGAGGCTTTTGATGGCAGCGGTGGAGTATAATAGCAGACAATTTCATGTACAAACCCTGGGAAAATACTGTATTTGTATGTCCCTGGTGAAGTTATGTCTCCATCTGATTTAGGTCGAATTAATCTGGTATACTGCATCTTTTACCACATACAGTAAGACTGAATGTCTTCATATAGAGAGTGTAGTAGATTGTATTATAGTAGAAATAAAACTAAAATGTTTGCGTCCATGGATAGAGGCGTACTGTCTTAGTTTGGCAAGTCACACCTACTTTTCTTTTTAGCACAAACGAGAAGGTTCTGGACACAGGCAGTAAACGTGTTTCTGATTGGCGGTTGAGCTGGAGCAGCTCTAATCACAACAGCTCTGTTGTTGTTCAGCCTCATGAGTAGGAGACTAATGATGATCATTCACCTGAATTAGCCATGTGCCAATCAATATGTTCTATATTACATGTTTTGTATCAACAGCAGTCCGCTGTTTGCTGATTGGTTAATTTCTCTGTCAATCTTTGCCCCTAAGGTCCGCCCGTTCAAATGGCCTCCATGGCTGCATGCCCAGACAAACTTCTTGTCTAGAATAGAGAGTTTTCTGGCTTGTCAAGCAACCACTGTCTAATAGTTACCGTCATAGAGCACACATAGTT